ACTAAAAAGTTTGTTAGATTATCGGATTTCTATTTGTACTCAAATATAAAACCCGAAGAAAAAGTATTTTGAAAATAAAAAATTTCATTTATATTCAAAAATTTACCAATAATTGATTTTGTAAGTTTCTTGAAAGTGTGAGCCTTCCTTCATCAGGTAGCAAAAAATGACGATATAAAATGGGCGGTAAGAAATAAGTGGAATTTCATAAATCACATTTCTTGCGATAATTCTGAATTTTCTGGTATTTGATAAACTCTGAGAGAGCGAGAACTAAGAGTTTCGCAAAATATGTATCTAATCAAAAAGTTTTCAAATCTTCGATTGACACATATTCCTGTGACTTATGGCCACACTTTCAATTTCTGGGATACAAAGATAGTTTTTAAAGTTATTTGCAAGTTTGAACTTGATTTTTTCTATAAAAATTTTGCAATTTTTATTAATAAAGACAACGTCATTGTAAATTTAAAAAACTGATTCTCAACTCTCATCTATTCCATATAAAAAAAAAATTATTTACTTTTTTTTCAACTTGTGTTCCCTTCTTTTCATTCCCTTCTTTTGCCTTTTCCTTCATATTTTTGCCATGTTTTAATTTTTGATTCTCTTTCTTTCCTTTCTTCTTTCCTAATTTAGTTGAAATTTTCTCTCCACTCATTCGTTACAGTCTATTTTTCTCAATTTTCATGTTAACTACCTGATGAAGGAAGGCACGTCCTTTCCAAAAGGCATAATTGTTTTGTTTTTTTTCTGTAATATGCAGGGACTGAGCGAGGCAAATATGAGCCATTTACTAAATATTTGAGATTAGCTTACTGATGAAAACAGTTTTAACAAGGGGAGAAAAAAACTTTATTGACACCAGCATATTTTTCCCTAGTTTTCGCAACAGACAATATTTGTAAAACTTTTAATTTATTAGAATACTTTTAGGAGGTTTTGAAAGCAGTTATTTAAATGGATTTTTTTTTTAGTTATAGTTTACATATTTATACATTAAAGCTGAATATAAAGCAATTTTTTCCACTTTAAAAAATTCAGATTAAAACCTTATGATATTTTTGTGACTTTTTACTAAATTTTGAGCTCCTTCAGAACGGTCATGGGTCAAGTATTTTGTCTTTAAAAGAGTAACTAAACATTTATCCAAAAACTTTCAATTTTTTGTGAAAGATAAGTTGATCTTCTACAATTGCAGTTCAAATGAAGTTGGGGTTTTTTTTTTATGTCTATTACGGCACTACGGAAGAAAAAAAATACTATGTAATCATAAGCGATCTCTATTACACGCAATTGCTTGAAGGAGAAATTATTTATTTTAGTTGGCCAGAAATATAGCATAAAAATCGAGTGAATTTCAGCGCGAACTTTTTTTCTTCTGATTCTCTGCCAATACATGGTGTTTACACTTGATCTGCCATTTCAATGCTTGCTAATTGATATAAAACGATGAACTAAGTGACTAGCGTTGACAGTTTTAGTGATCCCCCGATTTATGTTGGAAGATTTAAAGTATATTAGATTAACTGTTTCCAAATTAGGCTAATGGATTCCAGATATTTTCAAGGTTACTTCATTTTCCAAAAAAAATTAAACAAAAACAAATTGTACAGAACGAGAAACATATATATTTAACTTGGTAACTAACAAATCAATGCACAGAATAACAAATCACTTCAGCAGTGCAGTAAGAACGGCACTTTAAAAGTAATTTTGAATAATTTANTACACTCAATTTGCGCTTTTGTTTTCATATTTTGTAATCTGGCAATCTTTCTGCGAAAACATTTTTAAATCATTCTTGAAATATTTCCCGTCCATGTAAGTTGATCTGATTTAGCTACTCGCTTTATAGTCCATTTTTATACTTTTTTTTCTTTTTCTTTTATTTTATTTTCTGTTTTTACATGTTATTTTTACTTTTTATGTTCTTTTTAATTTGTTGTAATTTTTATAAAAAAAATTTTTGAGTGCTCTTCACACTATTGTATTAATATATTTTGCTTTGGCTTTATTGATACAGTATCAGAAAGCAGTCTGTTTTGCGGATATAATCGTGCGGGCTGATGAAAAGATTATATCTCTTTTTTCCTGTTTTTTAAATAAAATTTCATCCTTTTTTTTCTTAAACTGTTGTTTGTTATTTTTTTACTTATTATTTCCCCACCCCCATTTTCTTTGTTTTATTCTTCAACGCTTTATGAGTTTTTTCATTTTCCTAAGCACACATTCTGAGCTGAGTCCAGAATAAGACCGATGACCTCTTCTTCTACTTGTGTATACTTTATATCTACTCCAATTGATAAATTTGAAATAAATCTACTCAAATTATTTTGATAGGAATGCATTTATTAAACTATTTAAACATATAGTATACATTTAGCAAAGCTTACTTTACAAACAACAACTGAACAATTAACATATACAATTAGCCTGTAATTTAAGATACTTAGATCATTTTATTACCGATTCAATTGTTTATAGGGGAAATGTTTTTAATAAGAGTTATTCCTTTCAAAGCTAATATTTAAAGCATAATAATTATTTTGATATACAAATTTATTGTATCTAATTTACATGTAATCTCTGTGTAAATTAAAATTCTGCCAAATTTGAAAAACTCAAAACCGCCGTAGTGTTGTCTCAAATAATAAAAATAATGTCAACAAATCTGCAAAATCTAGAAAAATTGTCCCGAGAATGAAATAGTACGAAAAAAATTATAAACACGTAATCTCTAATTACTATAATCTTGGACTATAGTAATTTAAATACTTCTTTATGACAAAAATAACATTTAAAACGAAGTTTTAACTCACATATTTGACATGACGAACTTAGAAAGAACCTAAAAAAAGAATTTTTTTTTCTTTAAAACACCATGCATTACAGCCAGTAAAAGGCTTCTGTTTCCAAACTGTACGCATTCACGCAATCTTCTAATGCTTTCCATGCTTTAATCTACCATCTTCTACAAAATTAGACGTGTTGTATGTTAGGGAACTATTATTTATTCGGCACCATAATGAAATTTTTATAATCATCAATACAAATTACTTCAAACCCAATCTTGATTTCGTAAAAAAAAATTAATAACGCTTATAAATTTTATTTTAGTACAAATAGTGTAATAGAAAAATTAAAATTTTCTATACATAAAAAAATTAGATTTATCAGAGATGTAACCATTTAATTTTCCAAATCCGTTGCGGGTACCACAAATGAAAGAATGGATTTTCTTCAAGATGGCGTCTTCCTTTTTCATTGTTACACTTACAATAGGCTCAAAACTTATGAAATGAATTAAAAGACTCAAGTTGTTATATGATATAAAAAAAAGCATTTAAAATGTTAAAATTGAGTTTGTGATATATACTTCAACATTCACACACAAGAATATTTTTAGCGGAACCTTTTTAAAGGAACCTCATATGCAATGCTGAGTTTTACATGAGTGTTGATATCCCTTCCTACCCTCCCCCCTCCTTTTTTTTCTCTCTCTTATGGGATTACCATAATTGCCTTTAAAAAAGATCAATTTTCCTCTTCAGAATTGCAACTGAAATGCTTGTTTATGCTTTTCAAATACTTCTAAAACTTATTGCTTAGAAACTCACCAATTGGATCAAGATAGTGAGATTGCATATAACATTAACTTGGATTTCGTTTATTTGCATAAAATCTTGTGTCGACGTCATATTTTGTGGCTAACAAATAATTTGCTGTATTTCTTTAAACTATTTCGAGACGAATTCGAATTTTCTCCGTTATGACATACTATCTTTGCAAACTCTCTTGTTTACTGCATGAACTTTTTTTTTTATTATTATTACTCATTTATTTGTTATTATTATAATAAACAATAAAAAAAGAAAGTAAAACTCGAAACAGCTTTGATTTTTAATTATATTGAGTTTCTGTTGTTCAGAAGATAAAAAAATTTATTTTATGGTTATCCAAGCAAATCCAAGTAATCAATTTTCTAATTTCATCTCATCAAAATACCAAAGAGTTTTGTCTTAAATTCCTGAAAATCATTTTGATGTCATTTCTTACGAGCATTCTCGTATTTAACTGGATTTTTTATATTTTTATGTCCGAGTAAACTAGATAGAAATAATACTTTTAAACAAACTTTAATTTTTTTACAACATTTTTATTATCTCGCTTTTGAATTCACGTCGATGGTATACCGCAATCGAAATTTTAACAACTTTCAAACTTTTCAAATTGCTCAAATTTCCCCTGGAACTAAATGCCTAGTAACAATACAAAAGAATATCCATCTCCTGATCACTACAGTCTAAATCTAATGCCAACAAAGAATTTTATAACCAATCAAAATTCCGACCACTTCGAGAACTCAAGTTTTAATTTCATCTCTGTGTCTAGCGACAATACAAGAATCAATCGTTTTCTGATCGCTACAAGCAGGATTTATCTTCATTTAATAGCCAATTATAATGAATCTCCAACCGAAATTCAAACAATTTTCTGAATAGCAGGAGAGTTCATATTTCCACAGCTTAAGCCTAATATCAATACATGTTCAATCGGCCCTAACCGTCACCTGCAGAATTTATCACCATTCGAAAATGTTGACCTTTT